GAAGTTGGATGAGGCCAGCTGAGGGTAAACAGCTGGGACAACAAAAATGGCAGAAATTTGACGTCAACAGAGACTCATCAATAGCCTACCGTAAGGAGTTCGATGCTTCAAAGAAAATGGCCTACATTTCATAAAACTACAAGGGAAAGAATCCAATGTCTCGATCTCAATAGAGAAGGGAACAACGCATGAGAAAAGCTCAAAGAGAGGCTGAAGAAAAGCCTGAAACTAGCACTAACCTTGGCTTCAACACATCGTGATTAATTATGCCCTTTATGTATCTTAGCATCCTTTTTACTATGGTGAGATGATGTTCTTGTGGCTTCTCCATAAACCTTCTCAAAAGCCCAACACTTTGGCAAATATCTGGTATTGCATAGATATCTCAAGGATCCAATGATTTGCTTGTACAATGTTGATTTACAAACTAATCATTTGTATCCTTCCTCTATTTTCCTCATGTCTCTGATGGAGTGATTGTTGCATTGCAGTTTCTCATCTTGAATATCTTCAAGATGTCTTGAGCATAATTTGTTGGTGTAGGAAATCTCCTTGACTTAAGGTTTTCAACTTCATACCTAGGAAATATGACAATTTCCTAGGTCATACATTTCAAACTCAAGCATCAAATCAACCTTGCACCTTTTGATTCTTTCCTCATCTGATCATGTGATTAGTAAATCATCCACATATATATAGAAATTGATTTGATTAACCCTGCCTGCATCATAGACATATACTTCATGTTCTAAAACACATTTTGTGAAACCAACTTTGATCAGGAAGCTATTTATCATCTTCTTCCAAGCTCTTGAGGCTTGCTTCAAGCCATTTAGAGTCTTCCTCAATTTGTACACCTTTAACTCTTGCCCTTTGATTTCAAATCATGGTGGCTGAGAGATATAAACCTCTTCTTCCAATAGTCCATTCAAGAGTGCTGACTTAACATCTAATTGGTGTATCTTCCATCCATGATATGTTGCAGTTGACACAATAATCCTGATGGTTTCCAACCTTAAAACACGTGCATCGACTTCATTGAAACTAATACTTGGTTTTTATAGAAAACCTCTTGTCACTAGTTTTGTGTTATACTTGTCAATCTCACCATTTTGCCTTAGTTTCAGCTTATAGACCCAATTCATATCATTGGTTTTCTTACTAGACCTATCCATGAGCTCCCAGGTCTTGTTTTTATCAATTTCTCTTATATATTCTTGCATAGCATCTAACTAGTTTGAGTCCTCCATTGCTTGTCTCAGGTCGAATGGTTCTTATTCAACCATCATCACTTCTTATATCACATCACCTTCTGCATTAACTATTTAATCTGGAAATCTTTCATAATTAGTGAGTCTCACAGATTCAGTTCTTGTTCTGGTGGATCTTATAACATGATGCTTAGGTGATCTACTTTCCTGAGCAGGTATCTCTTCATTTGGTTGATGTTCCTCAAGCGCAGTTCAGATTGCATCTTATTTAGCATGACGTGTCGTATGAGTCCAATCTCAACTCTTGCCTTCATCTAATTGAACATCTCGAATGATCACTAGCTTATCATTATATGGTGAGTACATTTTATAAGCACCAGCTGAATCATAACCTATAAGAACCATCGTTTGACTAATATCTTCCAGTTTTCTTCCCAATTGTTCAGATACATACCTGAAACTTATTGATCCAAAAACCTTTAAATGACCAACACATGACTTCAATTCTGTCCAGGCCTCATCGGGTGACTATCTTCTTGGTTGGACATCTGTTCAGAATGTATATTATTGTCGAAACTGCTTCCCCCTAAAATCTCTTTGGCATTCCTTTAGCTTTCAACATGCTCTTAGTCATGTTCAATATACTTTTGTTTTTTCTTTCAACTATTCCATTGTGTTGAAGTCTGCATGATGCAATTATCTCATGCTTTATGCCTTCACCATTGCAGAATTTTGAAAATTCTATCGAAGTATACTCATCTTCACATCAGTACTTAATTTCTTAATATTGCATTCACTTTGTTTTTCAACATGAAATTTAAATCTCTTGAACTATACGAGTACTTCACTTTTTCTTTCAATCAGATAAATCCACACATGTATTATAGATTCATATATGAAAGTCAGAAAATAATAGTTACCTCCGTTTGACCTAACTTCAAAAGGTCCACACACATCAGAATAAACAAGTTCTAATTTTTTTCTCGACTTTATAGGCAAGTCATGCTTGAATGAACTTATTGCTTGCTTGGCTCTGCATCATTCTTCACATATCTGACTTACCTCATTTATCTGAGGTAGACCATACATCATCTTCTTCTTGTTAAGCGTACTTAAACTTCTAAAGTTCAAGTGTTCATACCTGTGATACCAAAACCACTTCTTATTTTCTATTGCAGTGAAAGCAAGACATTGATGATCAACCATGTCGATCTCAATCTTGAATGTCTTGTTATCTTCCAACGGTGTTATCAGGACTAATCTGTATATACCATCAAATACTTTCATTTGATTGTCTACCATCTTTACATTATACCCTTTAGCAAGTAACTGATATATGCTTATCAGATTACTTATCATCGAAGAGACATACAACACATTAGTGATGGTAGCTTTCTGACCATCTTTCTTCAGTACATCTATGTTACCTTTTCCTTCTGATGTGACATGCCTTCCATTTGAAAATCGAATCTCCTTCTTTCCTGATTCATCTAACATGATAAATCAACTCTTGTTTCCAGCCAAGTGATTGTTGCATCCAGAATCCAGATACCACACTCTAGCTAAATTACCAATAGGTTGATCATCAATGTCTTGTGTTCACTGCAATAACAAATAAGAAATGGCTGTGGCATCACAGGTATGAAGACTTGAACTTTACAAGTTTAAGTATGTTCAACAAGAATAAGAAGATGTTGCATATTGGCCATTAGCAGCACTTGATCAAAATCCATTCCTCCTGCATGAGCAAACTGAATTTCTTCCTTTCCTTTTGTCTTCGACTCCATAGACAATTTACAATCCCTTACATAATGACCAAGTCTTTGACAATTGTAGCATTGCACCTCTTTCATGTCAACTTTCTATGTCGTATTCATGTTTCCCTTGCCTTGATTGATTGCTTCAATGTGATTCTTTGAATTCTTGCTTTAATTCTCATCGTTAGCAAGATTCTTTCTTTGCTTCACTTTTTCTTTATTAGACTTCTTGGTGAATTTTGCCTGCAGTACCTATTCAACCATCTTCTCCCTTTCCGATTCCTCTGCTTCAGCCTTATCTCATGGGCCTCTAATGAAGCTTGAAGTTCTTCTACCTTCATCTCAGCTAGGTTCTTGGACTCTTCAATAGACATAACAATATAATCAAAGCTTGCAGTCAGTGATCTCAACACTATCTCAATCTTCTACAAATCATTGATCGATTCACCACACGCATTCATCTGTTTGTTAGCAACACCATATGCGGAAATAATTTTGAAATTGACTCATTTCTTTCATTTGACTCATTTTAAATTACTTTATCAAAGTCTGCAACTTCACTCTCTTGAGTTTCTCATCACCACCATACAACTTCTTTAGCTTATCCCAAGCTTTTTTAGCTGATTCTTCTTCAATTATCTTCTCAAAGATATATGAATCCACGAACTAGTGAATCAAGAATATGACTTTTACAAAAAATTTCATATGCTCCTTGTGCACAGCTTTCTGAACATCACTTGCATTCGCCTCCAACAATGAGACTCCTTCTTTCACGATTCCATCCACATCTTGAAATCTGAAGATGACTTTCATACGCGCAATCCACCTTCCATAGTTCTCGCCTTTAAAAACTAATAAATTCGTTGGAAGTTGCGTTACTGTTGTATTACTGTTTGCCTCTACCGTTTCTCTCTGAATCATAATCAGACTTATTGATACCAATTTGTTGGGGTTGAGAAAGAGTGAAAAGTGAAGAGTTTCTTGATTAACATGGTGATTAAATTTTAATTCAAGTTGTTATTCATAAGAGTGTAGTACATAAGTATTTATACACAAAACTAACTAACTAATTTGTGTAAGAAGTGTTTCTAGTCAAATTCGACACTACACATGACTCAATCGTTTGTCGAATTCTTCTTCTTGTTGAGTTTATGACTTCACATCAACAACACAACTTTACCTATACTTCTAAACACACCTTCAACTATAACACAAATGTTAGTCGACAACACAACTCATTAAAAAGCTTTGAAACAATCCATTGAGAGACCTTTGGGGTTGGCTTGGATATTTTGAGGGGTCAAACATAAATTGCTCTTAAAAAATACGAGAGAACAAAACTGAAAATTAAGGATGTAAATGGATATCCATGAGGACGAATACTATGATATATGTATACGTCCAATTTGATAAATATGATATACATATCTACCCCATATCTATGCGAATATCAGTTAAACGGGTAATCTACGGATTTTACAATATTCGTAGATATTTACAGATATCCATGAATAATATTTTTTTTATTAAAAATATTTTTAACTTTCTTTAAAGACATAAAAAATTATTATCATGTAACATCCATACAATTCACTCTTAATTTAAGAATAAAATTTCATCACATTAATTTTTTTTTATTCACCAAAACATAATTAAATCCAAACATAATATTCATATATTTTATTTTTAACCAAACAAATAAAAGATATGGTGACTTTGAATTATGTGAGAAAAGTGAACAACATATGAGTATTCAGGAAATCAATAATTCAAGAAGAGAATGGAAACAATAGTTGGTTGGACGTCTAAATTGTTGAAAATGATTCATTTCTCAATAGTAAAACAATTAAGCCCTTTACACTTTAACCATGTATTGCCACCATAATCACATGGCACATGAATCCATCAAAGATTCAAGAATTAAAACAACACAGTAGTAATAATAATTATAATCAAACATCCAAATCCAACAAATGAAAGAATCAACGTTGTTGTGACTTATAAACAGAAAAATTCATTAAACTTGAAAACATCATGGCCAAGTCTTCAATTCCTCTTCACTCTGAACCTTACCACTCCTCATAGTACCACCATCACCATCTTCATCAGAATAACACTTCAAGAAAAACGCCAATGTCAAAACAACCCACTCCAGCAAAAATATAACACCAGCAAGTCCACCGCACAGTTTCAGTATAACGGAACCATCTTCTTCCCTCACATAAGATTTCAACTCCGCAAGAAAATCCTCCGTTCTGGTGAAAACCAGCACGGAAACCGAACCTTGAAATATGGCAGTTAGAACAGTAACTACCATGTGTGCGGAGTACCAGCGAGTGATGGTGGTTAGGGAGGATGATGCGGAGGCGGAAACGGCTCCGGCGATAGTGAATGCGTGGAGGAGAATGAGGAAGAAGCCGCAGATTGAAGGGAAGAGGTTTAGGGAGAGTGTGAGGAAGATGCAACTAGAGGAAGCTGATAAGAGTATGTAGTTGCAGAAGAGGAATGCTTTGTGAATGTTGTATTGGCGTTGTTGATTCTTCATTTTCTCTACTTGTCTTTGTTCTTTCTAAATTGTAGTTAATGAGATTTATGAGTATAGTGTTATATAAGATATAATAAAGATTAGATTCAAAGTAACGGTCTTCTTATATTCATTATTACTCCACTTGTGCTTTTGCAATTTGATTTGTTTTGAGCTACATGACCGTTGAGAAAGGAAACAAAAATGACTTAACGGATAAGGAAGAATTTGGTTCATTTATCAGTATATGTGTATTTAAAATCAATTATTTGATTATAAAAATGTTAATCATTAGTATGTTTTAGTAATAACTAAATTTTACCAATAACCATAGTATATGATTTTAGCTAAGTAATCCATTTTTAGGTAAAAAGAAAAAAAATGAGTTTAATTTATAAATTTTCAACTTTTAAAAATATGAATTAAATGAAAATTTTAAAAATCAATTATAAATAAAGTTAAATATTTTTAATGATAATGTAAACTGATGCGTAAAATATATTTATATTAATCTTATAAATAAATAATATTAGTTTTAAAACAAGAATGTTACTCCTTTCATTTTAATTGTAAGTTATTTTTACAGTTTCATAACATAAATATTAAGAAGTATAATGATTATTGTATGAAAAGATAAAACTATGAAAATATTTATAAACTATCATTCTTTAATGCTATGTGAAAGACAAATTAAAAAATCGAAAAAAGAATAAAGAATAATAAACAATAAATATTCGATAATATAATAGGAAATAAGACATAAATGATCAATTAGTATAGCAAAATTTATGATTTTTAATTTTTAATTTTGTTTCATGGCGATTGACAATGAATTCCTAAGAGATTATGGTTGATTCTCACAATTGTGAATGAGACGAAGTTGAAATTACTTAATGTAATAGTTGACTTCCGAACTATATTAATCGTCTCAACGGATTGGAAATGAATTTGTAGGAGGTTATGGTTTGATTCTCGCAACTGTGATTAAGACGAAGCTGAAATTACTTGATGTAATAATTTGTTAAAGTTAAAGTATTAACAAGTGTGAGTAGGGTGGATAATAGTCCCACATTGGATAGAAATGTGGTGACTTGAGCATTTATAAATAAGAGAACCCACACACCTATCACCTTAAAGTTTTGGGTGAGTATGTGGTGTGTCTCTCACAAAGGTTGCTCTAGAAAAAGTCACATAATTAATTACTATATTTATATTTAAATTTCATCAAACTATTTATACCAAAATTTAACAGGAGATTAAAATTACTTGAATTTAAAAACTTACAATAAAAAATAATTTTGTGAATGTGATAAAGGGATCAAAGTTGAATTTATAACTTTTATTCGAAATATATATAAAACAAAAAGATAATAGTCGTTATTACGGGGTGATAAAATGGATCGGACCACCAAAATGTGTCTTTTTACTTCACCATTTTTCGACTGGCTGAAGTAAAGTTTTTAATTCGGTATCTTAAATTGATTCACTCTGTTTGACCCGGGGCGGGACAGATTTTGCCCGCCAATTTTTTTGTTAAAAAAACTTATTTTTTACTTGGAATATGTAGTAGACTTATTTTAAAACAACTATCATTTTTTTAAAACTCTAATATTCTTTTTTCACATAATCACAAACACCTCATTTTAAAGATATTAATTATTCTCTACTTCGTTCGTCATCTTCACTTATAATATGAAAATTTTAATTGCAAAACATAGAAAATAAATTGATAAAGTTATTAGTTTTGATGTTGTTAATCTTGATAATTATTAAATAGTGTAGATCTTGTTAAATTTTATTATGCATTGTTAATATTTGTCAACTTCTTTAATAATGATTAGCAATTTTGTAAATTATATAATAAATTAAATTGTAAAAAAAATGTGGCAGACCTATCCGCCAATATCTCAATTCGTTAATAAATTGAACAGGTCCACCTCATCCCATTTTTGAACGGTCTTAAATAGAACGGACGGGAGTCCATTTTGTCACCCCTAAATGTTAATTACCATATTAGTACAAATTTGTTAACCACCATGACAGTTAATCAATTCTAGCTAGGTAAGAATCAAATGAAGATTCATATTCATAGGTCCAGAAGTATATATGTATGTAATAATCAAATAAAATAACTATACTCTGTCAAAAAAATCACTAAAGAAGCAACTACTAAAAATAATATACGAACTTACTAGACCGATGGGAAAATGGAGGTTAAGTCATTCCACCTCCATATTGGAAATCTCACCTAAAATAGAGTGAAGTTTTTAGTGAAACCCACCAATATATTCCACTAACCCCCATTTCCTACACAGCTCAAAGAAATTACATAACATGTTTTTCTTCAATTGCTCTTCACACTATTTGTTTCTTTTCAAAATCCATCAATCCAAACAATAAGTAACATACCAGAGATGTTAGATTTGTATATGCAATATATACAAATACTTTGGGGCATGAACAAGTTAGAACAGGTTAGAACAAGTACTAAAGCAAAAGGATGAAACATACATTTGTAGCAGCAGTCAGTTTGAGTCCATTTGTTTTTATACAAAATAATTAAACATACAAAGCTTTTTAGCAAAAAGAAAATTACAAATTTTATTTTCATGCGATGCTAGTACTAAGAAAAAATATGATCAAGCTAACAAAAACGTGAAATCAAAATAGGAAGAAACTTATTTATTTTTCTTCATCTGTCTTCCCCTTTGAGCAAGACATTTGAGAGGGAAGTTTAATCCTTGTACTTCATCTCAGATACCAGGAAACCAGGCATACCAAATGAGGAAGAGAACTTCTCAACATCAGCTTTGAGTTCTTCAATAGCTTTGTTGTCAACCAAGCCCTTGTTGAAGTCCTTCAAAAGTTTGCCATGCTCCTTCTGGATCTCTAGTGTCAGAGTCACAGCACGGTGAAGGAACTCTCCAATCTGCTCAAAGTCCTTTTCAACCAAGCCTCTTGATGTCATGGCTGGAGTACCTGTTGACAGAACTCCACTCAGCCACCTCATGTAAACATGTTTTACAAACATCAGAAAAAATACAGTATTTCAACAAGTTCATATGAAGTTTCTTACCGACTCGTACTCCTCCGGGAGCCAAGGCACTGCTATCGCCAAAAACAGCATTTTTGTTCACTGTGATGTTACAGAGGTCACAAAGTTTCTCCACCTTGTTTCCTTCAAACAATTTCAAACAGCAATATTAAGTTTCAAACAGATTGTACGAAATTTAAACCAGATAAGATATTCTTTAGGTGTAAGGTATCCTTTACCAGTCAATCCAAGAGGGCGGAGATCCCACAATACAAGATGGTTCTCAGTTCCACCAGTGACAAGACTGTATCCCTTGCTCATCAAGTAATTTCCAATGGCAACTGCATTGGCCTTAACTTGCTTTGCATATGCTTTGAACCCAGGTGACATGGCCTGTTTCAAGGCAACAGCAAGGGCACCAATCTGGTGATTGTGAGGACCACCTTGAAGAGAGGGGAAGACTGCAAAGTTAATCTTGTCCTCAAAATCATAAACTGCATTGTCAGCCTGGCCTTTCTTGGGTGGCTTAGGTCCCTTCCTGTAGAAGATCATACCCGCCCTAGGACCCCTCAAGCTCTTGTGAGTTGTTGTCGTCACTATGTCACAGTACTCAAACGGATTATTAACTTCCTGTATACACAACAATAAAATAAACTTATCATTCATTCACACCAAACAAAATAAGTCATATCATCATCCTCAAGAAATGTTGAGACAAACGGACATGCCTTTTGTTAAATCCTTACATCACCCAGGTTTATTAACAAAATTTTATTTTCACACCAAATATCCACCAATAAAATTAAGACAATGGGATTAGGACTCTTTTATCTTATATATCCAACATTTTCTTCATTTATATGTGGGACTTAATCTCTCACACTTGAATCCAAACAATCTCCCACAAATGCGAGCCATTAAGATCACTAGCCTTGATTCATATAAAGATCTCACTTCCGCTCCCATACCGAGTTTAAGATATCAATTGTTAGAATGACATTCAGTATAAAAGATTAAAGAGAAACAAAAGTAAAAGACAATGAACACTAAGGTTTTAAAAAAAAAGTCGCGATCGTGTTGCAGTCGCGTAAGACTTTTGCAATTTCGGTCTATACAGATGCTACGACACTGATTGCAGTCGTCGCAGTATGAATTATCCACAGTTTGTTCTTTAACATAAAAACGGTGAATGATGGTATCGGTATCGGTAGGCACCAATACAGTTTTCCTGCTGTCGTTTTCATAGTCACATATCGTTTTTTAAAACCCTAAATACACTTCCGATTTTTGGTGGATTCTTGGTGTCAAGGTCTCTTTAATCCTAAACGTTTTGCTCATTGACACTTCCGACACTCCCAGACTCACTATCAGATACCCTTGGACTTCGAATTTAATTCATCATTATAAAATCAAGATAGAATTACAAAATGCCATTCAAAACAAAAACGATTTGATGCTGCAGAATGTAAATATCGACTTAATAAGAAATTTTATACCTGAGCAGCAACAAGACCACTAAAATGAGCCATATCACAAAGCAAAAGAGCGCCACACTTATCAGCAACATCTCTTAATCGATTATATTCCCAATCCCTAGGGTACGCGCTACCACCACAAATAATCAACCTAGGCCTAAAATCCAAAGCCTTCTCTTCCAACCGATCATAATCAATATAACCAGTAGCCGAATTCACCTTATACGGCAAACTCTCGAAATAAATCGAAGTCGCCGAGATCTTCTTCCCGCCGGAAGTATAATAACCATGCGTAAGATGACCACCAGAAGGTAGATCCAATCCCATGATCCGATCATGAGGATTGAGAACAGCTGTGTACGCAGCGAAGTTAGCCGGAGAACCGGAGTAAGGCTGAACGTTAACTCCCCAAGCTTGTGGATCGAGATGGAAAGCTTGGAGTGCACGCGACCGACAGAGGTTTTCAATTTCGTCGATGAATTCGTTACCGCCGTAGTAACGGTTTCCCGGAATACCTTCTGAGTATTTGTTGGTGAGTGCACTTCCTAAGGCTTCTATGACGGCGAAGGAGGTGAAATTTTCCGATGCGATGAGTTCGATTCCGCGGCATTGGCGGCGTTTTTCTTTTTCGATAAGGTCATGGATCTCAGGGTCGACGGTTACGAGGGGTGTGTTTCCCCATTGGCTTACGGGATCCATATTGGAAATGAAGATGAATGAGTGAACGAGGAAGAAAGAGAGAAAGAAAGAGAATTGGAATGGAAATGGAATGAGTGTCAGAGTTTATTGTAACGTAGCGTTATGGAGTAGTGTTGTGGCCATTGCTTAATGGTTGGTTAGTTAATAGTTGGTAATTTGTAACCACTTATTATTTTTTTTTTCTTTTCTTGTCTTTCTAAATTTGAAATTAAAGGATATTGAACACAAATTTTTGGGTACTTTTAGTTTTAGTTGAGTACATTATCTATAGAAAGTTGTAATGAATTTATTATATAGATGATTTTAAAAATTTGTATTAGTTCTCACGATGATATTTAAGCCAAATACATATATTTATTTTTTTAACTCTTTAAGATGGATGTTTTTTTTTTTAAAATTAATCTTTTAAATTTATGTTATGTAATAAGTCAATTATTTTAGGCCAAAGACACCATTTCATTATTATTATTATTATTTAGAGTGTCCGACAAAATATGCTCACATTTTATTTGATAATCAAAGGTAAGAGTAGTTTATATACAACAATCATACATTTTAATTTAACAATGTCTTTTTAAAAGAACAAAGTTGTTAGGATTCTCACACCAAAAACATATAATACTTTGTAGCCGCAATGATACAGATTTGAGATCGGTCATAATTGTTGAATTAAAGTGTGAGTGGTTAAGTCCCACTTCGACTAGAATTGGAGGAAATCTTTAATGTATAAGATAAAGAATTCATACTTATATTGCCTTAATCTTTTGAGTGGATATATGGTGTCAATGTCTCTTGGATCCTGAGTGTTTAATCTATTGACACTTCTGGTGCTCCCCGAACTCCCTAACATGAACATTCGAGAATAAAAAATATTACTGTAGATTCTTGAAGTGGTGGTGTAGATATCTGATGTGGTTGCGCGCGGGTGGATCTGCAAAGTTAACGTTAGTGGATAAAAAAAGGAAGAGTGAATTATGAATAAAATCATACCTTTTGCTGCATAAGTTGTGAATTATATACGATGAGAGACAATTGGGCTTGTTTTTGCATTAGGCTTGTGGCTGACCCTGAGCAATTTTTCCCAAGAATTTTCATGGTATCGCATATCAGAATCCTTCCAAGAAAATGGGTTGGAATCTTTTTTGTCGGGGTCCTTGTGTTTAAAGGTGGAAAGTTCGTAGTATTAACATCGTCATTGAAACATTTATCAGAGTTTTCTTACACATGGCCATAGGTTCATATCATCAACATCATCATTGAAACATTTATTGGAGTTTTCTTACACGTGGCCATAGGTTCGTAGGTTAGGGCATGGGGCTTTTCCCTATGATGCTCAAATGCACTCAAATGTAGTTATATTTTCGTGGTGAAATATGACCTTTGATTTTCACCTTCCCATTTTCTTTTATTTTTTACCGTTGATTTATCTCTCTTGTTCTTTTATATAAAGATCATTTTGACTTTTCAAACAATTTTGTCTTTCCTACTTCTGAGAAATTTTTCTTTCTTACAATCTCTTTTATCTTCTTTGAAGCTCTGGCAATTTCTCTCACAATTTTCTTTTTTTTTTCTTCTGGGTTTTGCGTTTCTGGTTCATTATATTTTTCAAGCTTTATTTGCTTTTCACCGTTCCTTCACTTTGTCTTTTTCTCAAGTACCATTTCTAACCTTTTTCCTAACATTTCTTTGCTTTGTTTTCTTGTCTTTTCTATGACCAACATAGAAAATATTCATGAGAACATGATTAATGAACTCGATGGTGTACAACAACGATTGGAAAAGGGATAACATCACGCGTGACCTGCCGTTGTTACGTAAGGAGTCGTTGTATATGCACAACTTACAATCACGGTCTTACGACTGTTGTAGAAAATCTGAATGCGCGCTATATATGATCATGCTTTCTTTAACTAACCGTGGTGGTATATACCTTTAGAAAAGTAACTTTCTATAATGGTTATTATAAATAACCATTTTTGAAAGTACCCAGGGTTTATTACATAATATGTAGATTGTTTGTTTTTCAATAAACCTCACAACAACATACAACCATTCAAATTGATGAAAAAGTATATAATCTGAAAATTAAATAATTTTGAAAACCAACTTACACAAACCACTGTTTTCAAAATTGCATATGTCTCATCATTCATTTCCCACTCTTTAACATATAAAATATGGTTCAATGGTATAAGTACTCCTTCACATCAATTCATTCTATTCTAGTTTAATTTGAATAATATCAATCAATTTTTTTAATTCAAATTAAACTATAAGAGAAGATATAGATGTGTTGAAGGAATCAGGTCATTGAATCATATCCTATATGTTAAAGAGCAGGAGATGAATGATGAGACAAATGCAATTCGAAAAATATTGAATGATATAAGTTGGTTTTCAAATACAACTTAATTTTCAGATTATAAGTTTCTATGTCAATTTAAATGAAATGTATTTTCATTGAAGATTTAGTGAAACAAACAATCTACATAGCATATAATAAACTCAACTTCATACAACAGCAAACAACAACACAAGATATTATGTAATGTTTTTAGAATTTTATAAAGAACAAAACATTGTTAATACCTTCCCCTCACGTAACCGAATCCCAAGCTTAGACTCTTGGTTGCAATGACTATGTCTTCTCCTTTCGTCTAGGGGTTTTATCAATATTTTCCTTTTGGCGACTCTCTTAGTCCATCTCGCAAGCGTACGATTGCGCTTCGCGAAGGATTGTGCTTTTTTTGAGGTACGACATCCTCAAACCTGCAGGCCTACCATGGACTTGTCATAATTTGTAAAGTTGTCTAACAAAGAAAAAGATTCAATGCAAGACAATTTTTCTACTGAAGAGATTATATAAACCATTAACTCTTGCGACGGGAACAAAAGCCCAGGCCCAGGTGGGTTCAACCTGGATTTTATTAAGACATGATGAGAGGTGATTGGTGCGGATGTAACAAATTGTATTCTGAAATTTTACCATACTTTAGTCTTGCCAAAAGTAATATGTTCTTCATTCATTTCCCTCATTCCAAAAACTGAGTGTCCTCAAAGTCTAAATGATTTCATGCCAATATGTTTAATTGGAAGCATTTATAAAATTGTGTCCAAAATGCTAGCGGCAAGACTCTGCAAGGTGATTGGTAAGCTATTTTCTGCTAAGCAAATGGCGTTCATTCCAGGACGATAACTTCTTGATGGTGTGTTAGTAGCCAATGAACTCATGGATTTTGCAAAGAAGAAGAAAAAAAGTTATCTGATGTTCAAGGTTGATTTCGCTCAAGCATATGACTGTGAAGACTGAGGTTTCCTACAAACAGTACTGAAGGCAATGAATTTTGGTGAGAAATGGTGCAGTTAGATTAAAGGTTTGACATGCTCTAGATACTTATTTGTTCTAGTTAACAGAAGCACATCGAAAGACTTTAAGGCAACCTGGGGACTGCGTCAAGGTGACCCTTTATCACCGTTCTTATTTGTATTAGTTGCTGGATATTTAACGCGTTTGGTCAAGAAGGCTGTAAATAGAAATACCTTGAGGAAGTTTGAGATTGATGAAAGGAACTCTATTGACATTCTCCAATTTGTCGGTGACACCTTGATTGTGTGTGACAACTCTTGTTATAACTTATGGGGCATTAAATCCATCCTTCGTGGATTCAAATTAGTGTTTGGCTTACAGGTTAATCTTTGGAAAAGCAGCATATTCGGAGTGGGCTTAGAAGAACCTTTTTGAAGAGCAGCATCCCACTTCCTAACGTGCAGAGTGGGTGTGTTCCCATTCAAATTTATGGGACTGAGCATTGGAAGGAAATATAACAGTACTGCATTCTGGCAACCTGTGATCGACTGCATAAAGGCTCGACTCTCATCTTGGAGAGGTAGGATGCTATCAATTAGATGAAGAGTAGTCTTGATTAATTTGGTTTTAACCAACATGCCAATACATTATCTATCATTCTACAAAGCTCCTTTAAAGGTGTTGAAGGAGATTAAATTTATTCAGAGAAAATTTCAGTGGACTGGATCGAGCGACAAAAATCCCATATCTTGGGTTAGTTGGGCACAGGTATGTAAACCAAAGAACAAGGGTGGACTAGGTATCAAGGACGTAGATGTTTTTAACAAAGCATTGTTGGTTAAATGGCTATGGAGATTTTCCCACGAAACGAACGCAATTTGGCTTGGAATTTATGGAGGCTAAGTATGGTTGTTTGGAGAACAAAATCTTTTCTAAAGAAATCACAAATAATCTCAGCATTGAATCAAGGTAGTGGAAAGACATTACAATTTTAGGGGATTTTACTCAACAGGAAGGATTCTACAACCTTCTATCTTGGAAACTTGGGGATGGAAGCTTAATTTTATTTTGGTACTCAAAATGGCTCGGGCCAGCATCTCTGTCACGATTATTTCCTGCTTTGTTTGAAGCCTTGACCTATAAATTGGCTACTCTAGAGGATTGTGGGAGATGGGAGAAGATGTGTGGGTCTGGGATTTGGAAGGGCACTTTTTGTCAATGGATGTTGCTGCCAATTTCGAATTGCACGACCTGCAGCAAATTTTGGCATAAGTACAACCCTCATTTGGAGCATTGGACATTATTGGTTGGGCAAAAGGGAAAAACAACACATTTTGCGTATCTTCATGTTATGACTCATTCTCTTGTGCTGATGATGGTTCTTTTCTTGATTAAAAAACTAGCAGGGCTTTAAATATCTCAAGGTGAAAATATTTGATTGGCGACTCTTTTTAAATCGTCTGCCAACTAGGTTGAATCTAATGTGTAGAAGTCTTGTCACAAATCCCCACGATAGTGTTTGTGTATTTTGCTTTCATGCCAGAGATGACATTGACCATATCTTCTAAACTTGTCCCAAAACCATGGTAGTTTGACAAAATATCATCGATTGGATCGGAGTAGCTATCCCTGCTACACATACTACTACTTACACATACTACTACTGATAATATGCTGGCTTGGACAAATGCTC